AAATCTGACATCAAGAATTATAACATTCAAAAACAAGTGGGAGAATACTTCAATCTCCCTGGACACTCAATAACAGACTTAAAAGTGACAATTCTTCAGCAAAAAAACTGCAAAAACAGACTCCAATGAGAAACTGCAGAACTGGAATTAATTTGCAAACTGGACACCATCAAATTAGGCCTAAATAAAGACTGGGAGTGGATGGGTCACTACAAAAACTAATTCCCCCCTGCTGATACTCACACCTTCTTGTTACCTGTTTGAAATGGGCATCACGATTACATTGAGTCCGGTGGCACCTTAAAGACTAACAGATTTTTTGAGGCATAAACTTTCGTGGGTAAAAAAAACATTGTGGATTTTTTACCCACAAAAGTTTATGCCCAAATAAATCTGTTAGCCTTTAAGGTGCCACCGGACTCCTTGCTGTTTTTGTGGATACAGACTAACACAGCTACCCTCTGAAACTTGATTACACTGGCCTCATTAGCGCTACAAAAGTGATTTCCACCCCTTCTTGTCAACTGTTGAGAATAGCCCACTTCCAACTTAATTGAATTGGCTCATTAGCACTGTCCCCCACTTGGTAAGGCAACTCCCATCTTTTCATATGCTGCATAGTTATACCTCTCTACTATATTTTCCACTCCATGCATCTGATGAAGTGGGTTTTAGCCCACGAAAACTTATGCCCAAATAAATTTGTTAGTCTCTGAGGTGCCAGAAGGACTCCTCGTTGTTTTTCCTGATACAGACTAACATGGCTACCACTCTGAAAACTGACAAAAATTTGTAGGTGACACAAAAATTGGGGGAGTAGTAAACCAAAGAGGACAGGTCACTGATACAGAGTGATCTGAATCACATGGTAAACTGGGAATGAGCCAATCATATTTGTTAATAGGCCAAGTATAAGGTTATACATCTATGAACAATGAATAAGGCTACGATTTAATCATGGGTATTTTTAATAAAAGTCATGGACAGGTCATGAGCCACTCCAGCAGCAGCCAGTCCTTACTTACAGACTGCCCCCCAACCTTAAGCAAATACTCACCAGAAACCACACACCACACAACACACACTAACCCAGGAACCTATCCTTGCAACAAAGCCCATTGCCAACTCTGTCCACATATCTATTCAGGGGACACCATCACAGGACCTAATCACATCAGCCACACTATCAGAGGCTCGTTCACCTGCACATCTACCAATGTGACATATGCCATCATGTGCCAGCAATGCCCCTCTGCCATGTACATTGGTCAAACTGGACAGTCTCTACGTAAAAGAATAAATGGACACAAATCAGATGTCAAGAATTATAACATTCAAAAACCAGTCGGAGAACACTTCAATCTCCCTGGTCACTCAATTAGAGACTTAAAAGTCACAATATTACAACAAAAGAACTTCAGAAACAGACTCCAACGAGAGACTGCTGAATTGGAATTAATTTGCAAACTGGACACCATTAAATTAGACTTGAATAAAGACTGGGAGTGGATGTGTCATTACACAAAGTAAACTATTTCCCCATGCTTATTTCCCCCCCTACTTTTACTCACACCTTCTTGTCAACTGTTGGAAATGGTCTTGATTATCACTACAAAAGTTTTTTTTCTCCTGTTGATAATAACTCACCTTAATTGATCACTCTCATTATAGTGTGTATGGCAACACCCATTTTTTCATGTTCTCTGTGTATATATATCTTCCTACTGTACTTTCCACTGCATGCATCTGATGAAATGGGTTTTAGCCCATGAAAGCTTATGCTCAAATAAATTTGTTAGTCTCTAAGGTGCCACAACTCTGACATTATAATCAAAAACACTGACAAAGGAGGTGCTGTAGTCATAATGAATAGGTTGGAGTATGAACGAGAGGCTACTTGGCAACTCTGTGACACCACATTCTACAGGCCATTACCCTCTGATCCCACTCAGGGGTATCAAAAGAAACTGCAACATCTGCTCAAGAAACTCCCTGAAGAAGCACATGAACAAATCTACACAGACACACCCGTAAAGTCCCGACCAGAGGGGTATTCTGTCTGCTACCCAAGATCCATAAACCTGGAAATCCTGGATGCCCCATCATCTCAGGCATTGGCACCCTGACAGCAGGACTGTCTGGCTATGTGGACTCTTTCCTTAGGCCCTACACTCCCAGCTATCTTCGAGACACAACTGACTTCTCGAGGAAACTACAATCCATTGGTCATCTTCTAGAAAACACCATCCTAACCACTATGGATGCAGAAGTTCTGTCAAGGTTCCTCCCCCACTCTGAACGCTAGGGTACAGATGTGGGGACCTGCATGAAAACCTCCTAAGCTTATCTTTACCAGCTTAGGTCAAAAAGTTCCCCAAGGTACAAAATATTCCACCCTTTGTCCTTGGATTGGCTGCTACCACCACCAAACAAATACTGGTTACTGGGGAAGAACTGTTTGGAAACGTCTTTCCCCCCAAATACTTCCCAAAACCTTGCACCCCACTTCCTGGACAAGGTTTGGTAAAAAGCCTCACCAATTTGCCTAGGTGACTACAGACCCAGACCCTTGGATCTTAAGAACAATGAACAATCCTCCCAACACTTGCACCCCCCCTTTCCTGGGAAATGTTGGATAAAAAGCCTCACCAATTTGCATAGGTGACCACAGACCCAAACCCTTGGATCTGAGAACAATGAAAAAGCATTCAGTTTTCTTACAAGAAGACTTTTAATAGAAATAGGAGTAAATAGAAGTAAAGAAATCCCCTCTGTAAAATCAGGATAGTAGATACCTTACAGGGTAATTAGATTCAAAACATAGAGAATCCCTCTAGGCAAAAACTTAAGTTACAAAAAAGATACACAGACAGGAATAGTTATTCTATTCAGCACAATTCTTTTCTCAGCCATTTAAAGAAATCATAATCTAACACGTACCTAGCTAGATTACTTACTAAAAGTTCTAAGACTCCATTCCTGGTCTATCCCCGGCAAAGGCAGCATAAAGACAGACACACAGACCCTTTGTTTCTCTCCCTCCTCCCAGCTTTTGAAAGTATCTTGTCTCCTCATTGGTCATTTTGGTCAGGTGCCAGCGAGGTTACCTTTAGCTTCTTAACCCTTTACAGGTGAGAGGAGTTTTCCTCTGGCCAGGAGGGATTTTAAAGGGGTTTATCCTTCCCTTTATATTTATGACAAGTTCTCTACACGAACATTCCACACAAAGATAGACTACAAGCCATCAAGAACAGTATCCCCAATAATGTCACGGCAAACCTGCTGGCTGAGCATTGTGACTTTGTCCTCACCTACAACTATTTCAGATTTGTGGACGATTTATACCTTCAAGTCAGTGGCACTGCTATGGGTACCCGCACGGCCCCACAGTATGCCAACATTTTTATGGCGGACTCAGAACGCTTCCTCAGCTCTCATCCCCTAGTGCTCCTACTCTACTTGCGCTACGTTGATGACATCTTCATCATTTGGACCTATGGAGGAGGCCCTTGAGGAATTCCACCATGATTTCAACAATTTCCACCGCACCTTCAACCTCAGCCTGGACCAGTCCACAAAAGGGATCCACTTCCTAGACACTACAGTGCAAATAAGTGATGGTCACAACCACCACCACCACTCTATACTGGAAACCTACTGACCGCTATACTTACCTACATGCCTCCAGCTTTCATCCAGACCACATCACACGATCCATTGTCTACAGCCAAGCCCTAAGATACGACCGCATTTGCTCAAATCCCTCAGACAGAGACAAACACCTACAAGATCTCTATCAAGAGTTCTTAAAACTACACTACCCACCTGGGGAAGTGAAGAAACTGACTGACAAAGCCAGAAGGGTACCCAGCAGTCACCTACTACAGGACAGGCCCAACAAAGTAACGGAATGCCACTAGCCATCACCTACCGTTTCCAACTAAAACCTCTCCAGCATATCATCAAGGATCTACAACCTACCCTGAAGGATGATCCCTCACTCTCACAGACCTTGGGAGACAGGCCACTCCTCGCTTACAGAGAGCCCCCCAACCTGAAACAAATATATACCAGCAACTACACACCACACAACAGAAACGCTAACCCAGGAACCAATCCCTGTAACAAACCCCGTTGCCAACTCTGTCTGCATATCTATTCAAGATATACCATCACAGGACCTAACCACATCAGCCACACTATCAGGGGCTTGTTCACTTGCACATCTAGCAATGTGATATATGCCACCATGTGGCAGCAATGCCCCTCTGCCATGTACATTGGCCAAACTGGACAGTCTCTATGCAAAAGAATAAATGGACACAAATCAGACATCAAGAATTGTAACATTCAAAAACCAGTAGGAGAGCACTTCAATCTCCTTGGACACTCAATAACAGACTTAAAAGTGGCGATTCTTCAACAAAAAAACTTCAAAAACAGACTTTAACGAGAAACTGCAGAACTGAAATTAATTTGCAAACTTGACCACCATCAAATTAGGCCTGAATAAAGACTGGGAGTGGATGGGTCACTACAAAAAATAATTTTCCCTCTGTTGATACTCACACCTTCTTGTCAGCTGTTGGGAACGGGCCATATCCACCATGACTGAATTGGCCTCATTAGCACTGACCCCCCACTTGGTAAGGCAACTCCCACCTTTTCATGTGCTATATATTTATACCTGCCTACTGTATTTTCCACTCCATGCATCTGATGAAGTGGGTTATAGCACATGAAAACTTATGCTCAAATAAATGTATTCGTCTAAGATGCCACAAAGACTCCTTGTTGCTTTTACTAATAATTAATATAAACCATATTTACAGAATGGGGAACTTAATCCAGTACAGCATCACACTCCATATTGTGAAAATTCATTCAGGCAACTTTTCTTGGTTTTGCTTGAAGGACTGTCTACTTCCTATACTTTGAAAATTATGAACTCTGAATGATTCACTTGCTGTCAAGATAAACAATAGCTATAAAATTCCTACCTCTGTCATGAAGACTGTTTCTCAATGCCCTTTCAAACTGTTCCTCTTCAGTAAGCCCACCAGTGTACATGTCATAGTTTCCTGGTATGTTGTATGGATAACTTGGGTGTCTAGAATACCCTATAGAATGAGAGAGGAAAAAAAAGCTAAATAAATAAATAAAATGCTGGCATTGCATAAAATATTTGATTTTACTGTCTATCATTGCCTCAAGCAGGTTTTCCTTTTGAATTAGAAAAGTTTTAGGGGAAAAATACGTGATTAATAAAGAATCTGCTACAAGCATATATGCAGTAAAACAAACTATTAGCCAGTTTTGTATGTTATAAATGATAGACTACGGTGGCATCCAAGGCCTCTGATAATATTTTAAAGAAAAATGTATTTGATTTTTTAAAAATTATTTCATGGTCTATAAGTGTAATAAAATGCTCCATTTTAATAAAAGACTTGTACTCTAAAATTAAAAGGCTGAGTTTTGATGAGCTCCTTTTAAAATTTAAATGCCAAGAACTGGAGACTATATTAATGTGACAGAGTTAAAAAAGGAGAACTAAACTGAATTTTCAGTTACCTTTCATGCATCTTTTGACCTGTACTTCATTTCACTTCTCTCCACAGTCCCCAACCCACTTTGTCTGCAACCATCAGCACTTTTCAGAATTGTCTTTGAGACCTAAAAAATCCCTGGCTCAAGGTACTCCTGCCAGAAAACCCTACAATTTGCACAACAATCCAGAATTTAATATCTAACTGCTCCTGTACAAGCCTCCTGATAGCATTGTGCTACTTCTACAGAGTATGAGTGAAAATTAGCACGATACCCACTGCCAGATCCAGGAAACCCCCCACTGTTAGATCTTCTTTAACATCGCAACCACCACTTGTGGTCTGTTCTTACCATCAATCACCAATCCTCACTTGAGTACTTAGAACCTAGTTCAAGATATAAAGATCCACAGTTCATTGCCCAACTGACCGTATGGAAGCAGAAAAAGAGGAAAGGATTTTAGAGGGTGAGGAGACAGGCAAGAGAGTATTTCTCCCTTCCAAAACAGATTTATAATTTTGGTGTACCCCAGAAATCCACAAGCCTGCCATCACCTTGACGCTCCCCAATATGAAAAACGTTTGAGTTACAGTAAGTGAATGTATGAAGATGCAAAACAAAAATGGTTACTAACTTTTCTTACAACTACAATACCCACGTGCTGAAGTGAAGAAACAGATTGACAGAGCCAGAAGAGTACCCAGAAGTTACCTACTACAGGACAGGCCCAACAAAGAAAATAAAAGAAGGCCACTAGCCATCACCTTCAGCCCCCAACTAAAAGCTCTCCAACACATCATCAAGGATCTACAACCTATCCTGAAGGACGACACATCACTCTCACACATCTTGGGAGACAGGCCAGTCCTTGCTTACAGACAGCCCCCCAACCTGAAGCAAATACTCACCAGCAACCACACACACCACACAACAAAAACACTAACCCAGGAACTTATCCTTGCAACAAAGCCCATTGCCAACTCTGTCCACATATCTATTCAGGGGACACCATCATAGGGCCTAATCACATCAGCCACACTATCAGAGGCTCGTTCACCTGCACATCTACTAATGTGATAGATGCCATCATGTGCTAGCAATGCCCCTCTGCCATGTACATTGGCCAAACTGGACAGTCTCTACGTAAAAGAATAAATGGACACAAATCAGACGTCAAGAATTATAACATTCAAAAACCAGTCGGAGAACACTTCAATCTCCCCAGTGACTCGATTACAGACCTAAAAGTGACAATTCAACAAAAAAAGAAACTTCAGACTCCAACGAGAGATTGCTGAATTGGAATTAATTTGCAAACTGGATACAATTAACTTAGGCTTGAATACAGACTGGGAGTGGATGGGTCATTACACAAAGTAAAACTATTTCCCCATGTTTATTCCCTTCTCCCCCCTCCGCCCCCCCCGCTGTTCCTCAGACATTCTTGTCAACTGCTGGAAATGGCCCACCTTGATCATCACTACAAAAGGTCCCCGCCCCACTCTCCTGCTCACATCAGCTCACCTTACCTGATCACTCTCCTTACAGTGTGTACGGTAACACCCATTGTTTCATGTTCTCTGTGTATATAAATCTCCCCACTGTATTTTCCACTGAATGCATCCGATGAAGTGAGCTATAGCTCACGAAAGCTTATGCTCAAATGAATTTGTTAGTCTCTAAGGTGCCACAAATCCTCCTTTTCTTTTAACTTTCTGTAACTGTTCTTCTTCAAGATGTATTGCTCACGTGCATTCCATGCTTGGTGTGTGCGCACGGAGTGCACTGTTTTCCCTCAGTGGTATCCGCTGAGCCGACTCTAGTGCCCTCTGGAGTGGCACACATATAAACCAGTATAAAGGTGCATTATAAAGGCCCCGCACCCTCTCAGTTTCCTCTTGCCAGTAACTCTGACAGAGAGGTAGGAGGGTGGTCATGGAATGGACATATGCAAAATGTCTCAAAGAACAACAGGCGGAGTTGACGGTACTATCGCTGGTTCGGGAGAGGAAGAGTGGCCCAGCACGGGTCTCACTATATTAAGCTCTCCCCACTTGGCTCTGTTCTGCACCAGAGAGCATCATCTCCAGGTGCACCGTTTATGTTTCTTACGTTTATTCCTCTGCACCGGAAATGATAAACGGTACGAGAGGGGTGCTCCACACGGATGTTGAAGTGCTTGGTGCTGATTCAGAGGGGCTCAGCTCCAAGACTGTTCTGAGGGCAGCCTCCATGAGAATGGCCTTCAGCCAAAGGTCCCTGTCCTTTTTAGTAGGAAGTCTGAAGTCCCTGCCGATCTGGCACTTATTTTACATGAGTTTCCCCCAGACACTTTAAACAGCTAGAGTGCAGGTCACTCACCAGCATAGGCTTGCTGCAAGAGGCACATGGCTTGAAGCCCTGGGACCAGGCCATGCCCAGACCCTCGGGCAAAGAATCCCTTGATGATGCGGACCAACTATTCACACTACTATACATATTAACACTAAGAAGTATTTACACTAACTACAATAACTACACAAACCATGCACAAAGAGTCCAAACCACTGGGAAAGAAGCCTTGCTGCAACAAGGATTGTTCCAGCAACCATCACGAGCGGTAAGAAGGAACTGAGAGGGTTCAAGGCCAGTGGCGCCCCTTACACAGGCGCATATGCCCGCGACTCCAGAAGGCATCAGACCCGGCCCAATGGATACCACTGAGGGAAAAATCTCCAGCTACCCTGCACGCACATATCTAGGATTGAATGGACATGTGCAAGTACTCGAAGAAGCAGTGAACTGTCAGGGGGGAAAAAAAAAACACCTTAAAATCTTCCCCACCTTGCCTCTCAAAAATACCAAGTATTGGTTGACATTCTCTGGACTATTCTAATCTACCATATATATGATTTCAAAGACTACAAGTTAGCTCAGAAGCATTAAAATCCAGTGTGACACTATGCTCCCATATTCTTCATAAAGATATTGTCATGATATGATTATGGCATAACTATGATACATTTGATACAAGATAGGTCATGTGACATATCACTGAAAAGGTTATGATTTACTAAATATGATTATTCTATTTGTATGCCTGTGCCATTTTTGTATCTCAAGTTATGAATATCATCTATGCTTCTATCACAAATGTGTTTACACCTGGGCAATGCCCACGAGACAGAATGCAATCAGTCTATATGGCTGGCTGGGAAGGGCCATTAAGGAAAACAATAGGACTTTGAATAATCTCCCACTGGGAAGCCTTCCTGGGAATCTTTCCTGAGGCCCTTACAAACAGCCTCTGTCTCATGGCTGCTATGGCACTACAGACGCATGTGACCAAGTCACCTGGTAATGGACTCCATCATAACACTAGTGTTTTTCCACTAACCGGGCATGGGAATCAAACTGGGAGACAAATGGTTCCCGCCTTATGCTAAAGCTATTTAAGGCAGGGGAGTGACATTATTGTGGTTCTTTCTTCACTTACTCTCCCTGCCCAAGATGACTGTGGTAAACATCTTAGAAACAAAGACTGAACTGGGGGAGAAAGGCTGTACCCAGGCTAGAGAGTTTTTTAGCCTATGAAAGGAATACCTAGAGTTTTAAGCTACAAGCAAATGTAGCTTGACCTCAAGAATCTCTGCAAACTGCCTAAAAACAACATTTAGAGTGAGAATCTGCTACTTATGTCCAATTTCTTTAGTATATTAAGCTTAGACTGTGTTTTGTTTTATTTGCTAATTAATCTGCTTTGATCTCGTTGCTATCCTTTATAATCACTTAAAATCTATCTTTTGTAGTTAATAAACTTGTTTTGTTTTGTCCAAAACCAGCTTGTGGAAATCGTAACCTGGAGCAGAAAGCTGTGTATGTTCATCTCTACATTGAGGGAGGGGGCAAATTTCATGAGCTTACACTGTACAGTTCTCTGTGCAGCACAAGACGGTATAATTTTGGGTTTACCCTCTAGAGGGGATGTGCACTTGAGTAACCGAGCAGTTCCTTAGCTTAGCCTTCCCATGCAAAGCTGATCTCAGAATCTGTGTGTGCAGCTCAGCAGGGTGTGTCCCTACCTGTAAGTGTGGTGGTGAAGTGCAGTCTGAAGCCTGAGAAAGTGCTTGGCAAGCTTGCCTCAGCAGTACAGTGTCAAGGGAGCCCAGGCTGGTGGGAGGCGGGCTCAGCGGTACCCCAATTCTAGGCGGAACCCTGGGGGGGGGGGAGAGAACCCGTCACCTCAGTTCCTCCCATCCATTCAAAAATAAACTGGATTTCTTCTCAATTTGAAAAATAAGATTTAGAATATTTATGCATGAATCAAGCTGAGCATACCATTTCTCTTTATCTTCGGACTTAATACAACTAACAGTCATATTAATTAACTTAAAACATCAGCAAAAAGTTAGCCCTCATATTGCGGTCCATGTGGATTTCTTGACATATGTTAGGTAAGAGACAAGGTGGGTGAGGTAATAGCTTCCATTGGACCAACTTCTGTTGGTGAAAGACAAGCTTTTGAGCTACTCAGATCTCAAGAAGAGCCATGTAACGCAAAAGCTTGTCATGGTGGTTCTATTTAAAACCATATTTTTACATACCAATTAAGCCGACTGCATGACCCTGACTATTGATTTGTACATACTTTTGATGCAATCCTTACATATTTCTCCCCATTCACATTATGTTCATTGAATGAAGATTTTCTCTCCTGTAAATGTAAGTTTATCTTCTGGATGTAATTTTATGTTGCACTTATCATAGAATCATAGAATATGAGGGTTGGAAGGGACCCCAGAAGGTCATCTAGTCCAACCCCCTGCTCGAAGCAGGACCAATTCCCAGTTAAATCATCCCAGCCAGGGCTTTGTCAAGCCTGACCTTAAAAACCTCTAAGGAAGGAGATTCTACCACCTCCCTAAGTAACGCATTCCAGTGTTTCACCACCCTCATAGTGAAAAAGTTTTTCCTAATATCCAATCTAAACTTAGCTCAGTAACTGCTTACTGAACTGTAGGCTTCAACATTGCACATTTGAACATTATAAAAATAATTCTGGCACTAAAAAATGTAAATATGTTCCTGGCCATAAAAAAAGAACGAGTCATGTTTTACGTCTGTTCCATAGTCAGAGTCTTATATGCTCAAGGTACTGCATTTGATTCATTACCTTCACAAAAAGCCCTCAAATTGTATTTCATAATGAGAAAGGGCCTCAAAACAACATCCAAGTTATGTGGGGTTCCTACTGTTCTAATTCTACCGTTCATATTTTCATGAACTACATTTCTAAATAACCCAACATTCAAGTACTTATCCTAAACAAATTAAATACTGTTTACAACTACAAGTAGCTTGGCAGTCACTCACGAAAATGTAGCTAATGCATACTCCTTCAGCCTGCCACCCTCCACACAGACTCTCCATGGGCTCCTTGCCTCTCCCAATCAATCACAGCCCTGCTTGATGTAGGGCTGCACCAAAGATTGTACCTTTGGTGATAAGGAGCCCCTCTTATTGGCCAGCTCAGCCTAAAGGGGGAGATGCAGAAGCGTAATGTTCTGCACCCTCCTCCTTAGTTGTGAGCTGGGGGAGGAATCAAAGGACCATTCAGGTGCTCCTTCTTCTACAGCAAGGTCTGCCCTCTCACCCACCTATATGCTGGGGGAGGAGGGAAACAGAGCTTAAGAAAAGCAGTTGGTCGCTATCCTTGGGAGACTGTATTGGTACATATTTGCCAAATGTAAGTTATTATATTGATTGATACAGAATTGTGTTAACGTTTCCATGTGTTCTACTACTTTATGTTGCAATTTTGGTGGTGGATGTATTCTTTGCAGGAAGTACATTTGTTCTGCTCTTTGAGCCAGGACGGCAAGAAAGAGAAGATGTACGTAACCCCCAGAATTGTGGTTCTTATGTAGGTGGGACTGATACTCGTAAGCAAAAGCTGCCTGGAGTCTGTCCTGTGTTGGCCCTAATCCTCTCTACAGGGATGGAGCATGGCTTGGTACAAGCTAAATGTCCAGACTCGTGTGGGACAGAGTATCTCTACCTGGTTAGCCATTTTTACTTTGGGATCTGCCAAATCATGAAAAGGGGTGGCTCATGCTGAGTGGCTATAGTACCCTTTGCTGCATATCCCTCCATTTTTTAAAATATTCTTGTTATTTAATAAATTTGAGGCTTTGTGCCATGAACTGTTCTTAACTTGTAAGGTGTCACTGTGGAGATCCTTTGAGAAAATCTTAGTTGTTACTTCTAAACAACCATAGGTAAAAAAATTTCATATGCAAGGGTTTTTAAATTCATGGTGTTCTCTTAACTGAAAGCACAGAAAAAAATGTGTCTTTAAATGGCTCCCATCACCATTCAGCAGGAAAAATTTGAACAGGAAACTAGACCCACTCTTGCAAAAAAATTTTATGGGATCTTTAATTGCCGCAAGTGCCAGGGATTACCAAAAAAACAGATATTTTGATATGGAAAATACCCAGTCAGAGCTCTTATTAGGTGGAAAATACTCAGAAAAAATATTAATGGAATCCAGGACATGGAATTATGTCTTTGTTTAATCCTGAATGGCTCGCCAACTACAAAAGCAGTTTCTCCTCCGTTGGTGTTCACACCTCAACGGCTAGAAGAGGGCCTCATCCTCCCTGAATGAACTAACCTCGTTATCCCTAGCCTAATTCTTGCTTGCGTATTTATACCTGCCTCTGGAAATTTCCACTACATGCATCCGACGAAGTGGGTATTCACCCACGAAAGCTTATGCTCCAATACGTCTGTTAGTCTATAAGGTGCCACAGGACTCTGCCGCTTTTACAGATCCAGACTAACACGGCTACCCCTCTGATCTTTGTTGAGGAGGGTCATGTGAAGCAGAAATAATGTGTAGGGGTTCTGGGTCATTCATTGGCTGGAGAATTAAAAGAGCCTTAGGAGGAAGGAAGAAGGTAGTAATTAAGCTGTTAAGTGTCCAAAGATAGGAAAGGCATGAATGAAAAATTTCCTGATGATCCAGATATTAGTAGCATAGTAAATGACATCCCCAGCAGTTCCCTTGAGAAACTTTCTTTGGGCCCTTCAATAAATGCATAGAAGAAATGTTTTAGAAAAGAAACATCTCAAAACTATCTCAGCTGCTAAAAATTGTTTCCCTAGTTAGTTGCCTGATCTGCTGTACAGTAGCATTAAAACAATGTTCCTTGTCCATTGGCATCACAAAATGATTGCATGACAAGACTAGCAGTAAGTGTTAATGCCACTGCTAATGTTGCTGATCTGACTTTGCTTTTGCTTTTTCCAATAGGGGCCCACCCCAGAGAGGAGAACAGAGAATTTAAGGGCTGTGTTGTTATTGCTGCTGCTATTACTACTACGTAACAAGAGAAAAACATCTAGTAGCAGTGAAGAAAATAGCATGACAGAAAGAAATAGAGACAGTGTTAAGTGTCATTCCACAACCATTACTGTTTTTAATAAAAAATGGCAATTTGAAATTCATACTCAATCTGAATGCAGTGGGTGGAGTATACTAACTCTGGTTGCACAGATCATTTCTTTTGCTCACTGGTTCAGGAAATGGGAGAGTTACTGAGATAATTACACTAAGGGTTGTCATCCTTTGTAGGTTTTCACCATGACTAATATTATGCCTATATACAGTATGCATACCTTGTGAGGTATTGGCTAAGTGAAGCAGAAATCACCAGCACTTGTCTCAACACATCTACCAATGTCTACATACACCTCACGCTTCCGGTATTTACATAATGCGACATGGTACAAAAGACTGCACTCTAACCAATTTCCTCCACTGAGATTTTCAGCCTCTTTGTAGAGAAACTGCTGTTGAACTACCTATACAGTCACCTAAACAGGAAGGAAAAATGTGGTACAGTATCACCAACATATAGTCTTCCACCGTGAATGCTTTGAATTTCATATAATTTAATAAGAACAATGTTCAAAGTTGCTATTTAAAAAAAAACCTAGTTATTTTATTTGTATATTTTGAGGCCAAAATACTTTCTTATGTACATACATAATTTTCCCCCACTTAACCAAATTTCATTTTCCAAATAACCAAATCTTCTACAATTCATAAAATTGTATCTTTATTTTTATAATTTTAAAGAAAAAAATACAAAGTTGAAAGGAAAAGTGAACAAAGTCTTTAGACAATTGAGTGAAAGTGCTCACCTGAGTAGTAGTCTCTCTGTCTTACAGAATCATTAAAGCAGAAAAAGCCACCTACCAGGAAGAAATGTGATACACTTAATATTCATAAATAATTTTATAATCCTTCTACAAAAATTAAAAATTGACTTTGCAGTAATACCACCTACAGAATCTTGGTCTTTTGTGATGAGGCTCTAGAACAGCGGGTTTTCTATAAAATTTTGCCCAGCAATAATCAAAGTATTTAATGTTTATAATCTTTATATTTTTCTCTGAGTCTCAAAGTGATGTCTGATATAATAAAAAGGGAAGAACCATGCAGAAAAGAAAATACCCACAAACAGCCCAGTAAACATTCTGCAGAATTAATGGTTGGGAAATTTTTGCAGCTAAATTGTGCACTGGGGAGCTCCTCTGGAGTAGAGAAAGGAGCTGTTCAGTTTCAGGCCACTCCACAGAAAACTTACGGCTAGACTAGCCCCTGTTCTGTCTGTCCCCTGCTACATAAGAGGAGGAAGAGAAGACTTGAGGATCCAGGAAACAATCTCTTGGCCCTGCCCCCAAATCCCAGCTGCACAGCAGTGCCCAAGTGATATCCTTCCGGCAGCGAAGAGCTCTCTTCAAATCCTGCTCCACCCACTGTACGACACTGGTTCTACCACCAGACAGTACTGCTACAGATGGGTGAAAGATTCACCTGTAAAAAAGGTGCAAACTGTCTCATATCAACCAAGTGGGTTGTGAAATCTCTCTCTTGGTTTTGTCACTTATAAGTCCTATATATCTAGAACTTACAGAGGCTTCATCACCAAACCCTGCACGCACTTCAAGCACTGACAGCAAGAAGGATAAATCTTCAGGCTAGTGACCTACTGGATTATTTGTTAAGGATTTATTTTAGTATTTAAAAATAGAGCTAAAACAAATCATTTAATATAACAGCTTTGGTGAAAAGTAGAAAGAGCACAGATTTCTGAACTGATAATATAGTCTCATTATACATTAGCTATATTCACATTTAACAAGGTATCATGAATAAAAATAATTAATCAACCTTATCAAGTAAATAAGCTACATATCCATATTTATTAATATTTCTAGTTTATACAAATATTTATTGTGAAAAGCTTTTGTTATGCTGAGAACATCAGCTACTATAGAAAATTCAAAGCACTACTTTTGACTATTTACATTTTTGAATGAACATATAAAACACACTTTGTCATTGGGCCCAGCCCTGCAAACGTTCAGTAATGTGGCCCTTGTATTTTTACCTCATTGAAAGAGTGAAGTCAGTGGGACTACTCACATAAGGAGTTGCAGGACTGGGCCCATGGTTTGTATTTCTAAATATACAGATATGCAGTATTTGCATTTCCCCCCCATTTAACTAGCACCTTGTGTAAACCTGTAGTAATACAATACCAAAATCAACAATATTGAAAATTCTTTAGACAACTGTCTATAATGCCAAAAGCTCATTTTTAAAATGTGGGTACTTCCAATATAATATATACAGGTAATAAAAAGATAGAAATGTACCATACTCAGTATAATATAACAACATGATAGTTCTCTGGGTTTACTACATTTAATTTAAAATTAAGGTTTTTAAATAGCATTTTAATTTTACCCCGATCTTTTTTTAATAATTTATTGTCTTAGGAAGTACAAACATTTGAAAAATATTTGATCCTGTTCTTGGCTCCATTTATTGTATTTCTAATAACCCAAATCTTAAATTTAATATTAAGCTAGACTGTTAACTTCTTGTCACGCCAAGAGTGTTCACTACATACCTGCAGTTGCTTTCATGAGCATCTTCAGAGGCCCCAGTGTGTACATCAATCCAACAAGAATACCTGCCAGGTGCCCAGCAAAAGAAGTCCTAGGAGGAACAGAATCATTTGCGAGAGTTTGTATGGCTGACGATTAGATATATTCTGTATTCCCATTATTCCAATGTATGTCAATTGGTCACAGTTTGCAGTCTTTGTTCCATATGTCTTTTGTTCTGTGCAGTTTAATACATCTCAAAGAACAACATTTTCCACCTTTTTTGACCACTGAAATGAGTAACAACCACAATATGTTTTAAAGGAACACCTCTGACCAAAGGAGGAGCTAAAAGTGACTGATGTATTACAAGAATCAATACGCCTCAAACAAAATAAGAAGAGTTAAACAAATTGTATAAATTTCACTCAGCTTTAGTTTGTTTCTGTTGTACAAAAAGCATCATCTAAAATTAGTTCTCTTTCAGCTCTTGAAATTCCTGATTCAGCATTACACTGCTCCAGTTTTACATCAATGGTACTCTACTAAAATCAGCGAAGCAACAAAAGCATAAAACTGGAGTAAAGCCATGGTAAATCAGGTCATTGTAAGAGGTAAATTACCACACTGTGTTTATAAAATAATTCAGAACTACTGCACATTTTAAAATACTAAATATATATGAGCGGCAACAATAGCTTTTGTAAGTAAACAGATCTGGCTTTGTTTCTAAACAAGAGCTTTATATAATTAATATTTTTAATTTTGGTGATGGTGTGGATAATGAAGTTCTCTTTCCCATGAACTCACTATAAACTGGCTAGCAGTGCAAAGCGTCTTTAAAACTGTATGTGGGAAAAATTTGGTCCTACTCTTTAGTTTTCTAAGACCCTCCAGTGTGACCCCTACTCAAAATCTCATTATATAGTAGTACTAAGTAATAAGTAGTATGGCAGAAAAGGATCTAGGATAGTGGTCCCCAAACTTTTTTCTGTCACGCCCCCCCTTACCTGTAATGGAATCTGTCCATGCCCTTCACCCCCAGGAGCTGCAGTCGGGAGCTGGGGCCAGGACCAGAGCCACGGCCAGGCTCCGGGCCATGGCCAAGAATGGAACCAGGCCCAGGACCAGAGCCACGGTTGGGGCCAGGAGTAGAGGCACAATTGGGGCCAGGAGCCGAAGCTGCAGCTGGGAGCAAGGCTGAGGCTGGGGCCCGAGGCCGGGAGCCAAGCTGGGGCTGAGGCCAGAATGGAGCTGGGGGCAGAGAGGGGCTGGGCGATGCTTCCTCCCTGCCCTCAACTGGGGTTGTCTCAGGCCCCACTGTGCCCCCTGAACATTCCTCTGCACTCCACCAGGGGAGTGCACCCCATCGTTTGGAGATTATTAGGAGGTTATTAAAGTGGATCACAAGTTGCATATAAGCCAACGATGTGATGCAGTTGTGAAAAGGGCTAATATTCTGGGTGTATTAACAGGAATACTGTATGCAATTCACAAGAGGTAATTGTTGCACTGTATTGACCTTGTTGCACTGTATTGAGCACTGGGGAGGCCTCAGCTGGAGTACTGTGTCCAGTTTTGGGCAACATACTTTAAGAAAGATGTGCAAAACAGAAAAGAGTCCAGAGGAACAACTAAAGTGATAAAAAGTTTAGAAAACCTGAACTATGAGGAAAGGTTAAAAGAATTAGGCAAGTTTAGCCTTGAGAAAAGAAGACTAGGGGAAAAGGAGTAAGGAACAGAGAACAGTCTTCAATTATTTTAACATCTATTATAAAGAAGATAGTAATTGCTCTCAGTATCCACTCAAGGCAGGACAAGAGTAATGGGCTTAATCTGCAGTAAGGGTGATTTAGGTTAGATATTAGGAAAAGCTTTCTAACTATAAGGATAATTAAATATTTGAATAGGTTACCAAGGGAGGTTGTATAATCCCCATCATTGGAGGTTTTTAAGACAAGGTTGGACAAACACTTGCCAGGGATGTCTAAAGGGCCTCTTGAGTTCCCTGCTAGCTCTATTTCTATGATCCTGTGGTTTTTCCTAGCAGTTACTGATTTGTTAAGGAATTTGAAATTTGAAATTTTCTCCAGGAAAATCCCTAAATTCCCGTTAAGGCTCTAGTGCAAATAGTTTGAGTTGAGTAATGCTTGTTATAAACTTTAACATAGTATTTTTCAGCTTTTGGAACTATTGTTCTGAAGAGTTCTTCCTGAAGCGAAGGTACTAAGCCCTGATTCAGTGCTGGTCTACTTCCAGTTAATATATGCAGGAGAATGCGCCACTGTAAAGACTGCAAACAAATAGGGCACACAGTGCCAAAATGTTCATTCTACAATTTATTCACCTAGACTCTGTCAAAGAATTTTTCCAAATGCTATAAAAATCTGAGGTGAACAACTCTGCCACTAACAAGATCTAGTTTTGACTATTATACCCACATGGAGGCATAGTTAGGTTATAGCATTAAGATTTAAAAAGGCTTAAAGTGAGAAAAAGAAAAACTTGTTTTAGCTTGTCACACCTTACAGCTGGTATCCAACGAATTGAAGGAAAAGACAAACCAGTTCCCAAAGGTAAATGCAACCTGGGATTTTGTTAGTGGTCCTTCTGCTCATGGGAAAACAGGAGACCTGAAGTCTTTGTAGACTGAGCTCCTCCCTTGGGAGCCTCTATCCCCCAACCTTTTTGCAGGGGAGGTAGGAAGGATTCAGAAGCAAGCTGAGTCATAGGGGTGAGCCAAAGCGGGATGACTCCATGTTACTGGTTCTGTGTTGGGAGTCCTGAACACGATTCTGGACCCAGTTAAATGCCTGCTGGAGAGAGCAGGAAGTGGGGTGCCATTGCACCCCTCCCAGTGTTAAATAAAATTGCGACCTGCTGCTTAAATCCATTCTCTGTATCTCCCATTCATTCACCTGCATGTATTGATCAACTACATTGGCATTTACAGCAATTGGGTCAGGACTTCCTATGTAAGTTGTTTTTCTATAGGTTTACAGCTCTATAAATACTCCCTCCAGGCTGGAATTTGGCTTAAAATTACTTGGATGCCAAAAAATTTTAACACACGTCCTAAAGACAATGTAATACCTGCACATGAAAAACCTTTCATAATTTACAGGAACATCATCCTGGCTGAAGATTTTTAATTACAAGGAATCACTTAGTGTGAAATCTCTACTTCTTTATTGTTTTGCTTTTATGGTCCCTAGTTCTCTATTGTTTATCTGTATAGTTTCTGTCCGGTTCTTTGATTGTTTCTGTCTGTTACATAACTAATTTTGCAAGGTGTAAATCAACTAAGGTGGTGGGATAGGACTGGGTAAAGGATTATTTTGAAATACATTACGATTAGTCAAATAATTATTTTGTAATACTTCAGTAAAATGATTGATTAAGGTATAGCTAAGCAGGACTCAAGTTTCACTATATCAACTGAGGTCCAAAAGGAAGTTTTTTGGAATCAACTCCAGGACACAGCCCCAAGATCCGAAATGCCAGACCGCAACATCCTGCCAACTATATCGTGCAGAAGCTGGAGTCCCTGGACGACCTGATCCTGGCCAGCAGGAAACGTTTGTCTGCCTTATTGGGAGTGGTAAGCATTGTATGCTTACTGTGTGCATTCTGTTGTGGTGATTGTTTACAAACATAGGTTAGGGATTTCACTGTGTAATGTCATTTCACTGGTGAAAGACCCCGCAAACCCGCAGAGGGTAAGGGTTACATCTTGAGTCTTAGAAGACGGTAAAGGTGGATGCCCCTAATGTGCAGGTAACAGAAATAATTAAGAACACTACAGGAAAGCAAATGAAATCCAAATGATTTGTTTGCACATGAAAAACTTTTAATTTTCCCCACAACTTTATTCTAATTTTACATTAATACTGTACTGGGATCTTCATTTTTTAGTTAGAAATAACTTCTCACCAACATCGCATGATTTATCTTACATTGTTTCAATCCTCCTAATATAACATTTGTAGCTTTAATTATCTGAAATATCTAACGTTAACAGAACAAAGAGACTTGAGTCATTGGGTTGTCACTGTCTCTTATTAACAGTGTTCTGTAGTTAAAAAAAAAAGTGATCGGTGTTATCTTACACACACAAATTATAGGACAGTACATCAGCCATTTAGTCCAGAACTCTGAGCTCAAACCACCATTATTGCAGTCTTTTGGAGAAACAGCTTCTTATTTGTTTTCATGTATTTCTTACCTTTGGTCTTCTGAGAGGCCATATTAGATAAACCTGTCATTAGATAAAGTGTGCTCTTTTAAAAAAAAAGCAGCATTAGCAAACTGACATACTATGAGCTACCACTGTCTTTAGATAAAATGATGAATTTCTCAAAACAATAAGTGCTAGTTCAACTAAATAAATAGCATGTACAGCCAAATACACCAGATGATTTATGTTCTTCATTGCTAAATTAAAACATGATTAGCAAGTAGGCCCTATAGCTAATTTAAGAGTGCTGAACAAACGATTTGAATGCAAATCAGACCACATTAAATCATCACACAAGAAGGAATCAACTACTGATTTAGAGCAGCACTGCACAGAAAAACACTATTGGGTTTATTATTATTAACAAGCTTTCCTCTTTCAGGTTATTTTGTAATAAATCTGGAATTTTGAATTACCTGGTAAATCTTTACCAGCCAAGTCTGGCAAAGAACAGAAGCCAGGAAACTGGCTCTCACTGGTGAACATCACTTCTCCAGACTCTTATGAAATTAATTTCCTTGTGTAACTGAATGTTAGCAGGTCAAGGGGCACCAAAAAAAGAGACATTCCATGCAGCATACTGTACCTCTCTAAAACAGAGTTTTTCAAACTGTGGGGTGTGCCCCCCTTCAAGGGGAGCGTGGAGGAATGTTCGGGGGACTGAGCGGCAGCAGCAGGTGTCTCGGGCCAGCCCCACATGGCGGTGCAGGGAGGGAATGCCACCTTAAGCCCCGACTCACCTCAACAGGCTAACTAGCTAGTAAGGTAGAAGCAGCCCGCTGCTAAGGAAGCCTTGGCTGTGCCGTTAGTAAGTATCTGTGTATTTAAAACTTACAGGTGTGGGCAATTTAAAGTTGTATTACAGTCTCAGTTCG